CAGGGGAAGGGGAAAAAAATAAGAACCAAGATACTCATGTAAAGGTACAAGATCCCAATGATGTATGTAACTGTATTTTATACCTAAAATGTACCAATAAAGTTAATGGGGGGGGGGAGAATCAAAGAAGATACTGATTACATTAAGTGTAACATAGATGAGTTTGGAATGTTGTAGGACTTTATCCAATTTAAATTGTGTATTCGGTGCTCTGTTTGGTGTGGTTTCTTTCTCTAATCACATTACATGTGAGATTTATCCATGCTCTGCACCTACCAGAACTATGTCATATTATTACTGAGGATCATCCCACTGAATAAATACATCATTTTTTTTAACCATTCACCTATCAAAGACAGGTTCTTTGTTTCCAGTCTGTGGAATAAATGTAAGAGCCCTTATGAACACTAAGAAGACAAAGCATTTAACCGCCTAGCACTGAAATCTCTGAATCATAACATAGACAAGGTTGAACTTGATGTGGAACTTTGTTTCATGTCCTAATTTTTCTTTTCATGACAACTGTTTAGTCTAACATTCCCTCAGTGACCACCCAAACTCCATTCAATGATCATAAACTTTAAAAATTCCTAGAAAAATGAACATCCTCTTACACTCTTAGTAATGTTGAGGGTCCATCTTTATTAATGCTGAATCTTTATCTCATGAGTTTGTGAAAAATCACATCCGTCATAAAACTGTGTAAAACCAACTTATTCTTCCCCTTGTATGACTTCTCTATTGTTTACAAGTCCATTTTCAATTACATGGTAATCACCTGCCTCACTCTAGTTTGAGGGAAAAAGTCAGAACATTTCCCATATTGCATCAATTCCACTTATCCTTTGGCCATGTAGAACTTCTATTTAGGTATGGAGTCACTTCAGCCCAGGTATACACTACTTTTCCAAGTAGCTGCCACTTTCTCCTTTCCCCAGGGGCCCCACCTTAAGGTGGTCTCCAGCGCACTGACACACAGAAAACCTTGACGAGCACACCTTTGTTAGGTAATAGACTAGCCCTGCCCCTCCCTTGGCCAAGCCTACAGCCTCACTCTGCTCTCCCCAAAACAGCCTGATCAGAAAGTTGGTGTCTGAGGAACAGCCTCGGCTGCCTCCCACTTGACTACACTGGCTTAGGTCCAAGGCTCCCTTACTCATGGGGCCTCCCTGGGCCCAGAATTTCCTGACAGGTGCTCTCTGCCTGCCTGTGTTCTGGGCAGTCCTGTGCCCTGCCTGCTGCTCCCATGACCCACCAATATGGCGCTTCACTTCCTCCGAAGTTTTGATCCCCAGGAAGGAGCCCCACAGAGTGGATGGAAGCAAGATGCCAGACCAGCTCTCCTACAGCATGCGCTTCCGCGGCCAAAGACACGTGATCCGCATGAAGCTCAAGAAGAACTTTCTGCCCAGACACTTTCCTGTTATTACCAACAATGACCAGGGGGCCATGCAAGAGGACTACCCGTTTGTCCCTTGAGACTGTTACTACTACAGCTACCTGGAGGGGGTTCCTGGCTCCACAGCCACGCTGGACACCTGCTCTGGAGGTCTGCGAGGCATGCTGCAGGTGGATGATTTTACTTATGAAATCAAACCACTGGAAGCTTCTTCCAAATTTGAGCATGTGGTTTCTCAGCTTGTGTCACAGTATGCATCAGAGGAAGATGAAAGGTGTACCATTCCAGAGGAAGAGGCAATTCAAGAACTTGAAGAAGTAAAACTTGCTGAAAGTCCAAGAGCAACCCCTGTCTATTTGTGGCGAGTACACATGAAACAGGCAAATATTCACTACACAATAAGTAACTCACTCTGGCTGCAGGAGAAAAATTACAGTCGTCTTGTAGAGAATGTAGTGATTATAAACAACATAATACATAGCATTTACAGACCAATGGGCTTAAATATCTACGTACGTGTTTTGTTCATTTGGGAACAGTGGGATTATGTAGACTTACAAACCATCCCAGTTAGACTTGCGATATCAAACTTTGGTTTATATAAACTACATGCTTGGTTTCACAAAATTCCTCATACAACTTCAATGCTTCTTACAGGACATAAAGTAGCAAACACCACTTATTTTAGTAACCCTGGAGGCCTTTGCAATGCGAATTGGGGAGCAATGTATGTGTTTATAATAAGGTATCACCTATTTCTAGGTGCATCAGTTTTGGCACATGCACTAGGTCATAACATAGGAATGCGACATGACTCTGCAGGTTGTGCCTGTTTTCGAAGAACCAGTTGTCTTATGGCTCCTGTGCCAGATCTTCATGATGTAGCAAGTAATTGTTCTTTTGAAGCATTACACAAAAGGATTCATGGTTATGATGCTTGCTTGAGTGTGAGATATCCTCCATACTATAATTTTCCTTATGTAGCTCCTCGTTGTGGAGACAGGATAGTAAATAACAAAGAGGAATGTGACTGTGGCTCCCTTAAAGAATGTACCAAAAATACGTGTTGTGGAACCAATTGTCTGTTCACTCCTGGCACTCTGTGTGACATGGGGGATTGCTGCTATCGTTGTAAATATGCTGGTCCTGGAACTATTTGCAGAGACAAGCTTGGTATTTGTGATCTGCCGGAACATTGTGATGGGAAAGTGGAGAAATGTCCTGACAACTTTTACATCCAAGATGGAACCCCATGTTCCCCAAACGCTGTTTGTATGAGAGGAAACTGCAGTGACCATGATTTGCAATGTCAAGCTCTGTTTGGATACAAAGTAAAAGATGCTTCATCTCTATGCTATGAGAAATTGAACACAATAGGTGACCGATTTGGAAACTGTGGACTTAAGCTACAGAGACATGGAAGTGTGCCTGCTCAATGTTTACCTACTGACGTTCTTTGTGGAATACTGCACTGTAGTCGTCCTGAAAATGTTCCAGGGGGAGGTGAGCACACTACATGTCATGATATAATAGTAAAAGAAGATACAGAGGAACACTGTTTTGGTTATGATGTACACCATGGGACAGAGATACCAGAAATAGCACTTGTAGTAGATGGTGCAACCTGTGGCCCAGGAAAATACTGTCTTCATCAGAATTGTACTTTTCATCAAGACTTGTATTTTGACTGTGATGTGCAGGTGTGCCATTTCAGAGGAGTGTGTAATAATAAAAAGCATTGCCACTGTCTGCGTGGTTATAAACCACCAAACTGTACAGATAAAGGACCAGGTGGCAGCGTGGATAGTGGCCCTCCACCTGACAGAGAAGAAGGTATTCGAGCCCATATAATTGTCAGTCTAAACCAGGAATTACTTCTAATTATTATTCGCTTGGGTCTTTTTCTGGCTGCAATTCTTGTCAGTGTACTTACAAAATAAAAAGAAGTATAGAAAAGAAAGTGTATCATGATAAATTTGCATGATTCTGAGTAAACATTTACGGGAGCTACACTGACAAACATCACAGCAGCATTTATTGGAAGAAATGATCAATGATCCCTCTCAGAATTACAAACCTTTTAGTGATTCTGATGTCATCTTGAAATAAAATTGTGAGGGAATAAAAATGTGTCTTTGTGTTTAAAATTCTTTTCTTTTTCTTTTAATTTTGAAGCTAGGGATGATACCTGGGAGCTTACATAGGCCAAGCAAGTATTCTGCCAAGTTATCTTCAAAATAGTGAAATAATTGCTGTAACTTCAGGCAGAGTGTGACCTGCTAGCTTGGTATTTATGAATAATATTTAATAGTTCAAGTAATGGGCTATAAACCAAAAATGGCAGCAGTGTCGGCATTAAGGCATTATAGAAGCGATCCTTAAAAGTGTCATTTAATTGTCGCCAGGGGTTTGAGACAGACTCAGCATCCTTCTCTACACAACTGCATTTAATCCGTTATTACTGGTGCAGAAACCTTCAGGGTGAGCCTTTGCAGGATTTGTTTCCTGTTTGTGGAGCTTTATCCTATGCAATGGGAGCTGATGCTGCAGGTGAAATGGTTACAGGTCACTGGAAGTGTAGGGGAGAAAGAGTAGGAATGCCAAAAGGAAAGTAGAGATGAAGATAGAAGGGAGATGGAAAAGGAGTAGGAGTATAAGAAAAAGAAACAGAAGTAGACAGAAATGAGCAGTTCCTTCAGGGTGACAGGAATATCAGACTATTAAAAAGACGTTTCAAGAGACTAGAGGCTGTGAAATAATTTTTTTGCTTGACTTCTTGGAGTCAACTGAAATACACCATCCATGGTGTGTCACCTTGCTTTTTGCCCTTATAAGAAGTCACAAAAATGCACAAGTCTGACGTGTTCCAAGTAACCAAAGGGCCACTGCACTTCAAGATTGTATGTTGTGAACTCTTACTATATTGAGAGTAAGCAAACAAAACTACAACTTTGTGCCAGACAGTATATTGGTACAGACTCGGCCAGGTGACTGTCTTGATTCAGTATTTCTATAGTAAAACAAATAGTTTATACAACAGCCTCACTTAAATTCTCTGCTCATCGAAAGAAATCAGAAAGAAAATATTGACTTAGGTCTGAAAAACAGATGGCCTAAAAAATAAAACCTGCAACTGCTGGAGACCCCTGAGGTCAGGTTCCAGTACCCACCTGCCCAGTGTACAATGCAGGCCTGAGAAAAAAATACACTGAGAGACAGAACTACGAGAGCAAAAGCAGGGTTCCAGGACGACCAGTGCCGGTGCAACCAACAAAGGCCCTGGCCAGTCCCAGACACTGACTTTTATTGACAATCAATTAAGGTAAAGGCAACAAGTGGTTTCTGTGGAAATTAATGTGAACAAGGCTCATAAAGGACAAGACAAAGCAATCTCAAATTAGGAACAGAATAGACAAAATACACGAATGTAATTAGAACATTGTTCTTGTCCGAAGGTTTAAGTTGTGGGAACAGAATTTGGGTGCGAGTTACTCTGACCTTTACATGTAGGCTTCAGCCAGACTCACTTCTCAAAAGAAGCCAATTGTGGGGTTAACTCTTTACTGCCTGCCTTGGGTATAATCAATATTACGGTCCTCTGCATGCAGCCTCCATGCTATGAACAATTAGGAAATACGAGGACTCACCTCTCCACTCAAGTAATTTAAGTTTCTTTGATACATAATATTTTTATATATATAGGAATATACATATATAATATATAGTATATATATATATAAATTTTTCCACATAGAAGTTAAAGGCTTTATTCACTTGAGACGACATCACAAATGAGAAGTCACTGGGAATTTTACAGGACAGAAAGTATAAAGAACGTAAGTAACTCTAGTTCTCATCTTAACTAAAACTTGTGGGTGGGATTTCTTTCAGTTTACCTACTCTGAGTTGGAGTCTCCAAACCCAACACAATGGTATTCTGGTAACCAAGGCTCACACTTTGTGGGGTTTTTGCCGAGTCAAGGGATGTGGCTGGTATATGGCAAAAAAGAAAGGGGAGCAAAGGGGAAAGGAGACGTGGAGCCAGAGCACTTGCCGTAATGGGCATTTTAAATCTTTTACATCCTCATCGCTGACGGGGCTGAAATATTGTCAGGTCTCCATTGCTATTTGCATTCATTCACATTACTGTTCCCCAAGGGTATTTCCAACTGCCTCCTAAATTAACCCAGTAGGTTCCACATATAATCTGCCATTCCTCTGCTGAGGATCACCAGCCTCATCTTGGCATGCTACTCAAGGTCAGTAGGTCAGTTCCCCTACACAGAATGATGACCCCTCCTTCCACCTCCTGGGGCATTGGCATGAGTTGTCTAAAATGTGACAATGCCAGCTGTAGGTGCACTGTCATGGTGGTCACGCTGTGCTCCCTGGAAAGTGCATTCTCTTTGTGGACGGAGACCTACAAACACACGGAACACACAGTTGCAGGGAAGGGAAACAGAAAAACCACCAGAGGATCATGAAGAGTGCAGATGTGCAGAACCACCCAGTTGCTCCTCTTTGGTGGTTGTTCCTATATATTCTTCCTGTTGGAAGACTCCAAATAGGAGGCTTGGATTTAACATACATATGCATCCTGAAGTATGACACTTAATCCTTTAGAGAATTATCTTGAGCTATCACTGTGCCAAAGGCTATGCCTTTGGTAGGCCATTCCTAGCAGTCAATGAGAAGAGACATTGCTATTTGATAAGTGATGCAAACAATACATCCTACTGCTACGGACCTATTTCCATATTTCGGTCACTGAAGAGTGTCTTTTGTCCCCATGCTTAATGATGTGTGGTACCATGGCACTGGCAGAAGCTCTGCAGCCAAGACAGGTTGCCGTTAGGTAAATATCCTTCTCTGCCACATGTTCCCCTTGCCATGATATTCTACCTCAGTACAGGGCCCATAGCAATGAAGTCAGTCCACCATGGACTGAAGCCATGAATCAAAATCTTTCCACTTGGGCCAGGGATTTAGCTCAGTGGTGCCACGCCTGCCTTGGAAGCCCGAGGTCCTCAGTTCAATCCCCAGTCCAAAAAAGAAAATCTTTACAAGAGCTTATTATGGCAGCCTAGAGACAGAAACACTCACAGGCTTCTCGGGGACACTTGCCATGGTCAGCAGGTACCTAGCTGCAGCGGTTGAATGAGTGCTTCTCAGTGGGAAGGCAACTTGAAAGAGAAGACACAAAGATTAAATTCAGACAGGCATGGTTAATATAAAGAACAGGGCCATCACTAGATTCTGGCAGTGCCTATGGACCAAGGTAGAGAATATGGCTTGTTGGGTAATGGACAAATCCCTCTAAGGGAAAAGGCTAACAGCTTCCAATCTACATCCAGCCTACCTGCCACCACCCAGTGTCCACTGGGCCTAGTGATCCCACTGAGACATATAACCAATGAATGAAGGACCTGCTAAGCAGCCCTCCATGGACCAGAGAACCATGGAAAGTGCAGCTAATGAGACATTCAAGAGGCAGTGGCTGAGATAGGATCAGCGAGGCTCAGTACAGATAGAGGAGGAAGGCACGGTCCTGGCTAGGGACATGGAACCAGTTCCTGTGGGATCTGTGAGACAGTGATAAATACAAGGGTTGGAAGCGACTCTGACCTGTTAGAAGCATGGGTGGAGAAAAACTTCCAGATTGACCCTGGTAGGGACTTTCTTCTGCTGATTCACAATACCACAGAAATCACAGGCTGGAGAAGACCATCAAGAAGCTGAACAACTGGAAAGCTTGTGACTGAGGGTGGAAGAAACATTCTGGATCAGTCCCTACAGAAGCTCTTTCCTGATGGTCCCAAGAAGCCACTGAAATCATGGAGCAGATAGAAACTCAGAAAACAGGAATACTGGAGTTATCTGTGTATGGGGGGGTGTCATCAGATTGGTGCATGGGACGTGGAGGTACAGCCTCCTGCCTGTCCTCTTGATACCACTGATATTGTGGACCAGAAAGAGAAGTTTGGCAGAACAGAAGCATCACTATAAACTGAAGATTCCAGGGCACTAGAGCAGTGAATATGGGGAAGGAAGTAGCAGAGCCCATGGTAGGAGCGTGATCAGAAACCTGAGGCTGAAATACAGAAGGAGGAACATGAGTACCCTGTCAGCACCCTGAGAACACCAGAGACTCCAAACCATGTATGCCTAAAGATAACAGCATAGAGAAGCCAATTGAAAATATACACCCTAATCAAAGAACCAGGATAACTGTCCTCAAACTTTTTTTTTTTTTGGCTTGAGTTTGGTCTTATTATGTATGTGTGTATGGACATAGCTATATGTATACGTTCCCTGCGGTTGATTTTGTAATGTTCCATGTGTTTAATAATATATGTCCTCATCAGTAATGATATCTAATGTTGCTTAGCTAGCAATTCAACAAATGGATATATGTATCCTATGTCTCCCCTTCCATTTATAATCTCTTCCTTTTGCTCTCTTCTTTATTTTTCCCACATGGCTTTTCTGTTTCTCAATTCCTATCCCTAAAACTTCTTCTTTCTGTTTTTTACCTTTTCCTTTGATCTTCTCCTCATTTTTATACATATGTATTACAATTAGCCTACATTTCCAGGAGGTTTGGGTTTTTCTCCCCCACCATATTTTACTACTCTCCCTGTCTTTTCCTAGTATAACAGAAGAGTATTATCCTCTCAAAGAAGTTCCTAATAAGTTGATAATACATAGGACTGGCTTCTCAAGTGTCAGTGTTACTAGTAGTTATTCTCTCCTCTCTGAATGGTGTTAGGGGTCTAAACCTAGCATTTAGAGAGACTAAGGGAGAACTCTCACAGACACAAACCCGCAACCACAAGCACATCACACAGAAAGCCACTCACTTAAAACATCCCCATGAGATAGTGGGAGATATAACCTATGCATAGAAACACAACTATAATGAGAAAATACAGAAACTGATTCCTAGAAAAGCTCCTACCTTGCCAAAACTAATCCCATAGACACTGAAGTGGCTGAAATTTCAAAGAATTCAAGAAGTTAAA